CTCTATCCTCAGAGTCGCCATCGTCGCCATACCATCGTCACCACAACCACCGTCACCACCACCATCACCACTACCATCCTATCATCATCATGGGCATAAACATCCTCATCATCGTTAGCATCATCATCTATGCCCGTCCTCCTCCTGTCAACCGTTGCGTCGTCGTCGCCATCCTCCCACTATTCGCCATCCTGCGTCCTCCACTTTGAGTCGCGCATGCATCGAGTCTGACATGTGGTGTGCCGTCTGACTTCATTACAAGCCTCATCCTCGTCATACTCACCACCGGTACCATCATTATCAGCAGCATCATCATCATCATCATCATCATCATCATCATCATCCTGATCAGCATCAGCATCAGCATGATCACCATCGTCATAATCATCCTCATAATCACCATCATCATCACCAGCATCATCATAATCATCGCCCTCGTCATCGTCAGCATTATCATCAGCGTCAGCAGAGGCATTATCAACATGATCGCCAATATCATCATAGTCTTCTGCACCACCATCATCATCATCATCATCATCATCATCAGCATCAGCATCAGCATCAGCATCAGCATCAGCAGCAGCATAATCATCCTCACCAGCCTCATCATCACCACCATCAACACCGTCGTTATCATCACCAGTATCAGCATCATCAGCAGCATCATCCTCATCACCATCAGCAGCGGCACAATCATAGTACTCAGCATAATCAGCAGCATCAGCATCAGCATCAGCACCAGCACCGTCGTCATCAACATCATAATCATCATCATCATCATCATCATCATCAGCTGCACATCAGTATCACCAGTGCCACAATCCCCATCAGCATCAGTAACACGATCATCATCAATTCCAGCATCGTCCTCGCTATCATCATTGTCATCATCATCATCGTCATCAATATCATCGTCGTCGTCATCCGCATCATCATCCTCATCCTCATCCTCATCATCACCAACAACATGACCAACAACGCCATACCGATCAACATCGATGTCATCATCATCAACATCATCATCACCATGAGCATAACCGTTAACCATCATCATCAACATTGAGATCACCATCATCAGCATCACCATCCTCAGCATCATCAGCACCATCATCATCATCATCATCATCAATATCATCACCATCAGAACTCATCGTCATCGTCGTCATAATTGGCATGATCAGCATCATCGCCATCAGCATCATCATCAACAACAAAAGCATCATCATCACCAACGCCATCACCAACATCAGCACCAACATCAACATCATCCTCATCATAATCAACATCATACTCCTTACAATGCTATTCCGTGCTTGCCCAGCGCACCCTTCCCATTGTCCGTCATCCTAGCCTCCGTCCCGTCATCCTCCTCCTCCTCCTTCTCTTCCTCCTCATCATCCTCCTTGATCCTCATCATGTTCTTTCTGCGCATACGTTAAATACACGCGGGAGCTCGCGTGTTCTCGTGCGCGAGCGCGCGCCAACAGGCACGTTTGTTCGGAGGCCAATCGCGGTGGCAACTAAATGCCTACTGGCGCGCCAGATTTGGGAGGCGCCAGCCCTCCCCGAAGGAAGGTGGAATGCAGATGGCAAATCGAAACGAAAGGACCGTCGGGGAACGAATGTGCAGGGTCGGGATAACGAGAAACGCGTGTTCAGCTGGGGCGGGGAAGGAGGGACGTTGTTTTTCTGTCTGGGCAAACCCCGCGGGGGCGGCATAAAGGCCCCGACAATGAAACGTGGCATTGCGCCTGCACCCGTTAACGTGCCACCCAGGAGTGAGGAGATGCGCCTACCCTTCAGCCCGCTTTGAAACAACTTCCACAAAAGCCAAGCCCCTGGGACAACCGTATTCTTGTAGGGTCTCGCGTGTTTTCGGGCGCGAGCGCGCGACGACAGGCGCGTCGGTCTGGAGGCAAGTTGCGGTGGCAACGAGAAGCCTCAAAGAGGATGCCAGGTGATCTACGGGCCTGCTGACGCGCCAGCGCGCCAGATCTAGGGTGAAACTCGCTTCGCCTGCCTGACATGCCCCTTGGAGGCCATGAAAAAGGGCGGCCACGGCGGCCGCCGATGAAGGCACGAAATGAGCGCGCCAAATTTGGACGAAGATAAAACAGGGCTAGGATCGGGATAAATCGCTGCAGAACGTTCCGGAGCGCTCTCTGAGCGTTCCGGAACGCTCTGGAGCGGCCGCGGCGCCCAATACATCCTCCAAACCCGGCGATTCTCAGAGATTTCGAGCTATCCCGATCCGATTTTGTCCCGATCCTCGCGTCGTTTTATGGAGAGTCGTGTGCACGCACAGCGTGCTCTCAGGCCCGGAGCAGCCGCCCTGGAGTCGGATGCTCTGTTCGGGCACCCTGTCGTGTGGCACTGTACCACCAGACGCCGCCGCGGTGCACAGGGTGCGTGCAAGTGGCGGGCCCACGAAACACATCAGAGAGAATTTCAAGGGGCCCAAGGACACACAAATAGATACACACAAATAAAATAATTCCCCATATGTTCTCATATTTTCTGGGGAATCGGGGATTAATTGTGTCAGTGTGTTTCTTTTCCTCCTGAAAAGAGAAGTGCTTCGAAAACGCCGCGCTGGAGTCGGCGAAAGCACAGCCGGCCGCGTGGTCAGGACACAATTCTGCTCGCTTGGCGAGCCATCGTCACAGGAACCCGACTGGGCAAACAGTCCCCCAGAGCGCGGACAGGTGGCACGAAACACTGCATGCGGTGACCGGAGGGGTCATACTCTCGTAACGAATCAAACCGCTCACGTGTGAGGCCAATGCCCGGATTTCCGCAATGCGCCGAACGCCGAAGAAACAACAAATTGTTGCTGCTGCTTCGCGCAAGCCGGCCGAGAGATTTTACGACCAACCGAGTATCGCAGAAAGCTTGCAACTTCAGCAAACCATCAGGCGCTCTAGCATTAGAAAGGCTGTGGTCAGCACGCTTCTTGAGCACGCGCCAAAAATGAGCTGAGCTGTCCCTCCCAGATAAGTGGGATGTTTAGAGCAGAATCCGATCCTGACGCCAAGCTTGAATTGCAGCCCGCAGGGTGGTGATGGACCTCTACGGGCAGCCGTCCAGGTCCACGAATAAGAAGAGAAATCTACAGTCACGATTGCCATCGAAAGGGAGGAGCGGCAGTGTCAACACGGATTCCGTCTGGCTCACGTCGCAGAGAGCTGCCGCGTACCGCGCCTTGTGGATGAATCCCAGGCGGCCTGTAAGCAAGCGTGGACTGTGGCAGCGTCCGTGGTTCTGTGATCGTTGCCGTCCGCGGGGTCTGCGACCACATCTCTGAGCAAAGAGGCGTCCTTGCGTGAAAGCTTCCGGGGACCGTGACGGTCCGAATCAGAAGTGCTGGCCAAGGCATGTACGGCCTGACTTGCTTCGGATAGCGTGAAGAAGACCGGCTGGGGCTTCAGACCTGATGTTGGCGCCTGCTGCGCTCGATGGAGACGCCGCGGCTGAACTTGCATGAATCTGCCGACTATGCGGCTGCTCTTCAGCTGCACGCCAAGCACCCTGAAAGGGATGAGTCTTGTCGAGCCTTGAGCGGCTCCCTCTCCATGGAGAAGTGCCGAAATCGCGTCTATGCCAGCAGGATGGGTCGATGCGGGGGAATTTGCGGAGAGGCTCTATTCTCCAGCCCGAGCCCGCGCTGCTGTGGGCGGAGTGCGTCCCTGAGCTCTTTACTGTCTGGACAAGCCGCGCGGGGACGGCATGATACCCCGACCGTGAAGGGTGGCACGGCGCATACGCCCACTGGCGTGAAACCTAGGAGAGAGGAGATCCACCGACCGTTGAGTCCCCCAGGGGGCTACTTTCCCGAAAACCAGCCCATTTGGGAAATCATCTCCATCGGCATTGCAGAGCGCTCCTTCTTGTCACACAGCTGGTCGTGTCGGGATGGCGCTCCATGCGCTTCGCTGGGCACTTCCATACCACGCGTGAACCTAGCCTGAACATCTCAGCAGTCCAGAAAGGACACCCCCCCCTGAATCCACCCACGTCCCCGCTCCATTGTTCTCTGCCTCCCTCCATCCCTCGCCCAACCGCCCCTCCTCATCCCTCCCACGAACCGCATTGGGACCTCCAGACCCATGTAGAAGGCTTTGGAGGCCCCTTGAATCTCGTGGACCCCACTAGAGCCTCCTGAAGCACTCCTCCTCCTCCTCCTCCTCCTCCTCCTCCTCCTCGGCCCCGCGCGGGCCGCTGGGCCCGATCGAGACACCTCGGAGTACCTCGCAGTGCCTCGAGCGAAGCAAGTGAGCACGAGGCAGCAGGCTTCGGAGTGGTCTCGCAACAGTTCTCGGGTAGCATGTACACGTCGGTCGGAGGAGGTAGGTAAGAACATGAAGTATGACGGCGGATAAAGTAGATTGGGCTCATGCCCTCCCAGAGACTAACAACACACAGCAAAAATATATCGGCCTGGTGCTCAACAACGGCCGTTCCTCAAGCGTCTAGTCCGGTGCGAGCGCGTGGATCCATCAGCAAGCAGCAGCGACGGGGGTAGAGGAGTGGATTTCCATAGGCAGGGTTTCATACGAACAGGTTAAAGGGCCATCAGACGCCCTCGCGTTTCCGAGGAGATGCGTAGGGGAGTTGCGGTGCCAGAGGCTCCGAACGTCCCTGCAGTATGGATCGCGGCAGAGGCCGACACTCTGGACGGGGGAGGCGGGGGGGGGGGGGAGCTCGGGCGGGCGGGAGAAAGGAAAGGGTCGTCGTGCCTAGTTTGTGCGGGCCCCTGCTGAGGGCTGCGTGCCCATAGGGGTGCTCACCAGGCCAATGCAGTTCGGGCTGTGAGCCTTGGTTAGGCTTGCATCGTAAATCAGGTTTGGTGTCGAAGCAACCGTCTCAGAGTACAGTCTGAATTAACTAGGTGAGCGGCCTGGCCTTAGCTTCAGACAGGGATTCCATGAGGTTCTTCTCTGCTCTGCTCTTCATCCTCCTCTCGTGCACCGGCTTTTTCACCCCGCGCGCGCATCTCCCAATCACTCGATGCAAACCTCCGCGAGGTACGCCTGGGGGAGGGCTGCTGCAATCTGCGGGGACGTGGTATACGGCAAGCTTATGCCACGACGGCGTGGGCGTGTCGGATGCAGAGGGGAGGGGGCAGCGAATCAGCTGCATGCGTCGGGTGCGACGATGGGGTCGAATGGCCCGGGGGAGAGCAACACGTGCATCCAGGGGCGCCGATGGCTCATGCCCTTCGGCGAGGCTCCCTGGCGAATGCGTGTCACGCCCGCCCCCTTTGGCTACTCCAGATTTCGTAATAAAGGGAGGGGGGTCTCATTTCGGGGGGGGGTCTCTTCCAGGCTATCTTGGAGGGCCTGGGGGGTCTGGGGACGATGTTTTGGAGGGTTCTCCCACGGGGGAGGTCTGAAATGGCTTGTCTTGGAGGGTCCAGACCCCCTCCCTTTTATTACGACATCTGGAGTACTCGCCCCCCTCGTCGCCGCCGAAAGCGGCCGACTTCCCCCACGCCTCCCGGCGCCAGAGTCGCCAAGGTGTCGAAAAGAGAGCGCCTCGCGCGGGGCCGAAACTGGCGGGGCCCCCTCCTGCTCCTCCTCCTCCTCCTCCTCCTCCTCCTCCTCCTCCTCCTCCTCCCTCCTCCTCCCTCCCTCCCTCCCTCCCTCCCTCCCTCCCTCCTCCCCTCCTCCTCCTCTCCTCCTCCTCCTCCTCTCTTCCCTCTCCTCCCTCCTCCTCCCTCCTCCCTCCTCCTCCTCCTCCTCTTCTCCTCCACCTCCTCCTCCTCCTCCTCGTCTCCTGCTCCTCCTCCTCCTCTCCTCCTCCTCCTCCCTCCACTTCCTCCTCCTCCTCCTCCGCGTCCTCCTCCTCCTTCTCCTCCTCCTCCTCCTCCTCTTTCGTCCGACCCGAGCAGGTCTGGGGGGGGGGGAACAAATACCGATGCCCCTACTCCCCCTGCATCTCCCAGGGTGTGTTCTGAACAGAATTCCAAGGCCAATCCAGCCGTGGCGACGAGGGCCTCCCAGGAGGCCCAAAAAGGCGAAGACGATGAAACGGTAGCGGTGTCGGTATTCATCGTCATCTGAAGAGCGTTGGATCCTGTCACACCGTGAACCGCCCAGAATTGAACAACACCCGATGCTGGGGGGTCCACGGGCGCTGAGCCGTCGCGAGGACCGTTCAAGCTGGAACACCGGTTCCCGCACTGCCGCAGCGCGGCCTGAGAGCACGGAGCTGCCGCGCAGAGGCTCGGCAAGGTAGCAGCAAAGAGAGGGGGGGGGGGGGGCAACTCCCGAGATCTCCGACGATAGGATCTCGTCAAACTTCAGACGAGGCCAGGACGAGGACACATGCGGGCGAGGATAAAACAAGAACCTCTGAGATCTGGCGGCTCTGGAAGATGTATCGGGCACCGCGGCCTTCTCAGAGCGTTCCGGAACGCTCTGAGAGCGTTGTGGAGCGCTGTGAGAACGGACATATCCTCGCCCCGGCACCGTCCGAAAACTGACGGCTTTTCCTCGAGTTCGGCCGCCGCGGCCCGTGACCATGATCAAACGGGTCCGGGACGAAAAACTGCCACGAGGGAAGGGGTCGGGAGCTCCTTGGGGACACGCATTGAAAACATCGTGTCGTCGGCTGTCTGGGCGTGATAAATTGGGCGGCAACTCCTCAGAGCTCCTCGTGGGAACGGCCAAGGACTAACCCACCCGAGTAAGAAAACACGTCGCCCGGAAAAACAAGCAGCGGCATCAAACTGGGTCACGGCAATGTTCAACCACAGATGTGCCAGCGCCGATGCTGCATGTAAACTCCCAGGAATTGCCGACGAGGATAAGTGCTGCAAAAAGGAAGCAAAGTGAGGGAGAAACAGGATGGGTAATTGGCTGAGCCCGCAGCATCCCGCGGCACCTGGGCGCTCACAATGGCGTGCCCCCCCTCGCCCAGCCAGGCCCCGCCAGGCCGCACCAAGCCCAAACGAGAAAACGCAGGAGAGGAACACAACTCACAAGCACTCCTTCCTACTGCACCAACGTCACCAACAAAAAGGTCTGCACAACAAGAAACGTTCTAAACAAATTTGGGCTACCTTGAACTTGAGCCGCGGATTGTGCTGCAAGACGCGCGATGCGACCAATCAAAAACCTCGTGCCCCGTTGCGCCAGTGAAACCACGTACCGTGACCGCGCGGGCGGAAAGGGGGGCGGGCGGCGCGCCGAATGTCCGCGATCTGCAAAAATCAGCCACGGGCGGCCCAGAAAGGCCGACACAATGCCCCTCACGTAATGGAAGATGTCTTTGTTCTAGCCGCCCCGGATTCGTGTGTAGCTGCCGCGGATGGTTGTAGCCCTGACCCACGTCGTAAACATGCGCGCCAGCAACACACTTGGAGCCCCGAGGCGGCTACCCAAAAAAGGTCACCACCAGAAAATGTGTGTAGCCATTGTGTAGCAACATGTGTAGCAATTGTTGTCGCCTCGTTTGTATACGGTATGTCCTATCCCTCCAGACGCCACTCCCTCTCCCCCCATCAAACCCTTTGATTGAATCCCAGCGCGCATGAACGCAGGACGCGGTCACCGTGGGCACGTGAAAAGGAACTGCTATGTGGCGCGCGCGCGAGCTACGCAGTACACGCAGGCGAACGGTCTTCACTAGAATATATGGCCTAACATACTCCAGATTTCGTAATAAAGGGAGGGGGGTCTCATTTCGGGGGGGGGTCTCTTCCAGGCTATCTTGGAGGGCCTGGGGGGTCTGGGGACGATGTTCTGGAGGGTTCTCCCACGGGGGAGGTCTGAAATGGCTTGTCTTGGAGGGTCCAGACCCCCTCCCTTTTATTACGAAATCTGGAGTACATACAGTGTATATGCAGCTCTCGACTGTAGGCGGCGGTGCTATTCCAGCAAGGGCGGAAACATGTGACACAGCGAGATCGGCTGGCCCCGAACCAGCCAACCCGCGTGGGCGACTCGACACGGACCCGCGGAAGCCGAACCCCCTCGCCCCCATGATTATCCCTCCTGCCCTCCTCTTTTCCTCGCGGCCTGAGCAGACTGCGGCCGAGTGATGCGTGCGCGCGTGGGCACTCATCCTGTTATTGCGTCAGGGGTCCGAGACGGAAACACAGCGCCACACACATCAACTGTTGGAGCCCCGCGCGCATGTCTTAAGGATCGGTGATGGGCCCCCCTCGCGGCGGCGCCTCCGACGCCGCCCCCGGCGCGCTTCTCGCGCCGGGGAGGGGAGCTCATCGCCGATCCCAGAAATCCGAGCGGAGCTCCGAAAGCTTATGCTCATGTGAGTATCCGCTAACATATCCCCATCCCCACCGGGCCATCTATCGGCGGTGGACAAACCTCCCTTTAGTAAACCTCCCTTTAGTGAAAACGGCCTGGGACCGAAACCGACGGACCTGGACCCGCAAAAATGACGGCCGGGGGCCAGGACGCCCTCTCGCGAACCGAAAACGGCGAATTCCTTAATCGACGTGTCAGGGTGGGAGGTCTGTCCACCCCCGAATCTAGGGAGGTAAATCGGCCAGTGGGGCCCAGGGCACGCCAATGGGGATAAGGATCGGTTAAACGATGCTCCTTCTTGCGTGCTTTCTTCCTCGACGCTGTGCACCTGCAACCTGTGCGCCTGCTGCCTGGGCGCAGGCGGCACCCCACTCCGCCTCCGACAGCACGTCCTCCACCGCCAGGCGCGCCCCGTGGTGCAGCCCCTGGGGGAGACAAAAAACGTTACCGATGCCGCTGCTGTGCGGACCTCTCTCTCTTGGGGCGCGTTCTGACCAGACTCTCGGGGCACATCCAAGCCGTGGCGGCGAGGGAAGGGCAGCGGCACCTCGTCGTCACCGTTTTCCTCTCCCGAGCGCCAGCAGCCGCGCCACCAGGAAGCGGGTGCACTCCTCCAGCAGCCCGAACGCCTCTCGCTGCTCACGCGCGCACACCGCGCGGTCGCCGGCCGCCAGCCGCAGCAGCGCCGCCGCCGGCCGCGCGCACAGCTCGCCGCTCGCCGCGGCGGCGGCGCGCAGCTGGGCGCCCGACACGGCGCGCGGGTCGCACCTGCCGAGCAGCAACAGCGCCGCCACCGCTGGGCTGCCAGCGCGCACGGCGCCGAGCAGGGGAGGCTCCCCGAAGGATCCCGCGCGCGCGTCGGGGTCGGCGCGCTGCCGCAGCAGGCGTTTGACCTCCACGGCGTCGCCGCGCGCAGCCGCGAGCTGCAGCGGGGCCTCTCCTGGCGGTGGCGCAGCGCCGCCGACGCTGGCGCGCACGGCGTCGGCGTCAGCGGCGTCAGCGGCGTCAGCGTCAGTCGGTCTCAGCGGCGCACTGGAGCAGCCCACGGGCGTCAGCGTCGCCGCCGCGCCCCGGGGCCGCGGTGCGGCGGGGCGGGTAGCCGCCTGCGCGGCCCGCCGTCGTGGCCAGCGGCCCGCGTCGCCCTCGTCGCCACTGTCGCCGAGGCGCACGCCGCAGAAGGAGGCGGGCGGGGGCTCGAGCTCGATGTCCTCCACCACCCAGTTCGGCTCCCGCGGACCGCCTGGGCCAAATCCACCAGCCTCCCGGATGACCAGCCCCACCGTCCTCTCGAGCGCGCCCCTGTCGCCCGCGCGCTCGGCGGAGCCCGCGTCCACCCGCCTCCGAGGGGGCCCTGCACGAGGTCTCCTCGGCACCTCGCTCACTGCCAGGCCGCCAAAGCCGCCGTCACGGCTGCTGCCGCTGCTGCCGAGGCTGTCCCGGCTGCTGCCGCAGCTGCTGCCGCAGCTGCTGCCGCTCCTGCTGCTGCGGCTCCGCGCGCAGACCGCGGCACCGCTGCCGCCGCGGCCGCCCACACCGCACAGCGGGTCCGGCAGACGCCGCCGCAGCCACGCGCGGGCCTCCGCCGCCATCTCGTCCGGGATGGTGTGCCCCACGCCGCGGTGGCGCGAGAAGCGCGCCCGCGCCCCGCACTGGCGCAGACGGCGAGCGCCCTGGCGCGCCCACCTGAGAGGGCAGACGCGGTCGCGCTCCCCGTGGCACTGGAGCACCTCCAGCCCGCGGGCCCCGGGAGTGATCTCGGGCCCCTGGCTCCCGGGCGGGAGCCCCGCGCCGAACAGCAGCAGCCCAGCGAACCGGTGCTCGGAGGTCGCGGCGATCACCTCTCGGCTACACGCAAGGGTGACCCTGGGTAAGAGTGACGGTTGGTGCGCGGCTTTGGGGGGGCCGCGGGGGGACCAAGCCTGGACTCGCAAAAGCCGCTGCTCCTGCTTCGTTTTCAGCCACCTGGGGACCCATCTGTGCCCGCACCAAAGGTCACTCCGGCGAAAGGTCACTCTTATTGGGGGGCGGAAAGATACGGATACGTGTTGTCCCCGGACCTCTCTTGGGGTGCGTTCTGACCAGAATTTCGAGGCGAATCCAGCGGTGACACCGAGGATTCCCCAGGAGGACCAGGAAAGGCCGAAAACGAAGGGGGACAACACGCATCCGTATCTTTTTCTCCCCCGATCTTACGTCTAGTCGAACCTCGGCCACCGTGCCGCCCTGGGAGAAGCCGGCGAGCACCACGCGGGCCAGGCAGCCCGCCTCCTCGAGGGGCCAGCAGCGCGCGGCCAGCTCCCGCACCTCGAGGATCGCCTCCTCCAGGGGGCGTCCACGGGGGGGGCGTTCCAAGAGGCGGGCTCACAGATCATGGCCCCAGGCCTGTGCGCGGCCCAGGGGGCACCAGGGGTCGCATCGAGACAAGGAGAGGGGGCCATTTGAAACCTGGGAGATCTCGCGGGCCCCGCCACGAGACCCCCCCCCTGGGTCATCACTGAAGGGGCCCTGGGACACACAAAAAGACACACACACACACACACACACACACACACACACAAATCACAGGATTCCCCCTATTTTGCTATATTATCTGGATTCTCGTCTTCCCCCCCACTTCCCGTATCTTCCTCTATTTCCTGGGGAATCGACGATTGAATGGTGTCTGTGTGCTTCTTCCCTCCCGCATCACCCCCGTCTTGGACGCTCTCGACTCCTTGGCCTGCCGGTGCGCAGCCGCCTCGTCCTGGCCGAACCAGGCCGGGCCGGTGCCGAAGAGGCAGGGGCGCGTGGGCGCGGTCGGGGCCAGCAGGCGCACGTGGGGCAGCCCCCGCACCTCGAGGGGCCGAGGGGGGCACAGACACATCGCCGCGAGGATTCCACGGCAGTCGGGATTGATCGGAGAGGACACGCGAGAGGACACAAGACTTCAGTCGGGCGTGTCCCCCTACAGGGGGATTTTGGACGAAAAATGAAAGGTAGTCAAACTAGATTCCCAACTTGTCAACAAAAAAATAATCCCCAGACTATGTTTTGATTCCCCCTGTAGAGGGACAGGCCCGACTTAACACAAGACCCTTCCGAGGGCCACATTGCCATAGGAATGTAAGAATACTTGAGCCGCGAAGCGCAGGACACGAGGGTACCCTTGATTTGGCAGGGCCGACCTACTAATCTGGGCCGACTGTATTCCGCCGCATGTCCGGAGTGGCTGGCTTCCTCGCCGTGCACTCTTTCCCCCGCTGAACCCTCCTGGAAATCAACGGTGACGTGCGCCTGTGCCTACAGTGCGGGCGCGGCCGCAAGAAACCCTCGCAAGAAACCCAACCCTGAGAACCAGTGCGCAAGGTACACCAGAGGGGAAACCCGGAGCACCCTGAACGCAGCGGCTCCCTCAACGGCCGCGGGAAGTCACCGCGCAGCGCGAGGAGCGAAGAAACCCAGGACACCCTGACGAAAAGCATATGGTTTCTTGATGCCCGCTCCCACTGTATAGTTTCTCCCTCCTGAGCACCAAAGCCTCGGCGGGGCCGGCCATCAGCCGGGCCGACTGGAACATCCCGTGGAGCAGGATCACGGCGGCCGCTGGCTCGCGGCCCCGGGGGCTCACGACCAGCAGCGGCCGCCCGGGGTCAGCGGTGTGCAGGGCGGCGCGAGGGACCGGAAGAAGCGAGACCGGCAGCAGCACACACCCTCGGAGAATCGCCACGGGCTCCCCTGAGATCCGATGTCGTGGTTTTTGTCAACACGGGGTCCCCAGAAGTCTCGACCCGTTCCCCAGGAGCGGTTTTTCATCCTGAGTCGTTTTTTGACGGTCCCCAGGCCCAGCGAGGGCCCCTAGGGGCCGAACTCTTCCGAAAGTCTCCCCTGGGGGCCCTAGGGGAGAACTTTGCGAAAAAACCTTCGGAGAATCGCCACGGGCTCCCTGGATCGGCGCTGGACCCCTCCCTATAGAGTTAGATCGGGCCTGTCCTCCTACAGGAGATTTTCGAAGAAAAATGCAAGAAATACTCGTAAAATGCTCCAAAGTGGTCAGGAAATAATCAAAAAATAGTCCCCAGACTAGTTTGTGCGTATTTTTGAATATCCCCCCTGTAGAGGGACAAGCCCGACTTACCTACAGAGAGCGCAGGCCGCGCCGGGAGCCGCGCCAGCGGCGGCGCCGGCGGCGCCGCCAGGGGTGGCGAGCGCCGCCCCGAGAGGTCCGAGCGGAAACGTCCACAGATCGGCATGCGATACAGTCGAGGCGTTGACCTAAGGAACCCTAAATAAGGAACGAGGCCCCTTCTCCCCATAAGTTCAACCTCGATGTCCTATGGAAAACCTCAGGAAAACCCGAGGCAAACTCTGAAACAATCAAGGAACACCGAGCCCTCCCCAGCGAAAAGGGTTCCTTCTTTAGCGCCCCGACTGTATGCCTCGCCGTGTTCAAGACGCGGTCCCCGGAGGGCGAGCGCCGAGGCGAGGAGTTCACACGCGCACGCCCCCAAGGCTTGTGAATGCTGTCTTGGCTCCTGCAGTGCGGTGTCGACCCGAAGCCCCGAGCCTTTCCCCCGGGGTCGGTGTTTCAGCCCGAGTCGTCTTGTGGACGGCCCCCGGGGCCCGGTGAGGGCCCCCAGACTCGAAGCGGCCGAGAACCTCCTGTCGTGGTCTTTTCGCGACGCGAACATGATGTCTGGGTCCGAAGGTGATGCTTCTAGTTATATGCCGGTGTCTCTTCTTCGAGATGGTGCTGCGTCTCCCACAGCTCCTGCACCTGTAGAGGAAAGAAAACGACGAGCATGACCAAAACTGAACGCGGAAACGTCGGTGCGACCTTGGTCACCGTCCAGTCTTGGCCATCGTCAGTTCGTGGATCATCCTCGCGAGACGGCGACGACCCGCATGGACCATGACCAAGATCAGCGTAGACGAGACCCCGAGACATCTTGGTCATGGTCAATCCTTCTTCCCCCGCGGAAACAGATAGGCACCCATACCGCTACTCCACGGATCTCTCCTGGGGTGCGTTCTGAACAGATCCTCGAGGCGAGTCCAACCGTGGCGATGATGGCCTCCCAGAAAGTCCACCAAGGCGAAAACGAAGGAAGGCGAAAACGACGGAAGCCCAAAAGGCGGAAACGAAGGAAGGATCAGCGCCGACGAGAGCCCGCGACATCTTGGCCATGGCCGTCGTGCTTCCTTCCCCCGGTGCACGGGCCCCTCGACGAGGCTCGCGGCCGGGGAGCGCCCGCCTGAGAGGGAACGTCAGGGAGGCTCCGACTCTGAGCATCGTTGAACTGATCCCTCTCCCAACTGGCTTGGCCTGGGCCCCACTGGCCGATTTACCCCTCCAGATTTGGATGTAGGCTGTTCCCTTCGGGTTTCGAGGTGCATGTCCCCAACTGGCGTGGTGGGATGGTGGGGTTAGGGACGGGATGGGGATGGGAATGAGGATATGGATCGGTTAAACGATACTGAGACTAAGGGGGTGAAGCATCGGGCTTGAACAAGCCATGCACCGCCGATAGATCGGCTATATACGCAGCCGATAGCGAATCCGGACACTCCTGGGCGGTGCGTGTGTGTGTGCTATTAGCTATCGGGGCCCCCATCGGTGATCTGTGGGCGATTGGGTGTCGATGCATCCCTCCCTGAGCCCATCCCTGTCCTGGGTGGTTTTCGGGCCACAACTCGGGCCGCTGGCGGCCGTTCGGGACGACCTGGGCACCACCGGAACGCCCTCGGCGAGAGGCTGGAAAGCCGCCGAGACCCGACGAAGACATCCGAAAACCTGAAACCTATCCCTCCGCCTACAGTCGGACCTAGGACAAAAGAACACCCTTCGAGAACATGTGAGAACCTCCGCCAGCCAAAACACACAGAGCATCCAGGGTACCCTCCCCAGGGTGCACCAGAGCATCCCCGAACCGACCTCGATCTTATGCATACCTCGGTCCAGTCCGACTGCATCCCCCCCTAACGTTTGGGCGCCCGAGTTATCTGGGGTAACTCGGGTCCGGGGTAACGCGGGTTTGGACTCCCAGAAAAAACGAACCCGAGTTAGCCCTGACCCGAGTCACCCCTGATGATTTGGGGCTCTGGACGCGCCAGAGTTATCCGGGGCAACTCGGGCCCGGGGCAACTCGGGCTCGGAATCCCGAAAAGCGGACCCGAGTTAGCCCTGACCCGAATTACCCCTGATGATTCGGGGCTCTGCAACGTTGCCCCGGACCACCGCCGCCTGCATCCCCCCCCTCGCCATCGCTCGGACGTCCATTCCGTGTGTGTGTGTGTGTGTGTGTGTGTTTTCCGGCTTCGTGCGTGGCTGTTTCTCGCCAGATGATCAAGGATGCTCCACGATGGCCCTCGCCGAGGGAAGAATGCACACGCCCGAGCGCGGCCGAGCCCCCCAACGTGGCCCCGGACCACCGCCGAGCAGCTCCGGCGGGGCGCCCTGCCCGAGCTCGAGCCCGAAGCGGGCCCGCACCTGCGCGCGCACGGCGGGGTCCAGGCCGCGCAGCACGGCGGCCTCCGCCCCGGCGCCCGCCCGCCGCCCCTCGGCGAGGCCGACCGGGGGCCGCCAGAGGCTGTCCGAGGGCCTACAGTCGGGGCCTGGACCTAAGGAGCCCTAAACAAGGAGCGAGGCCCCTTTTTTCCATAAGGTAAACTCCGATGTTCCGTGGAAGACCTCAGGAAATCCCGGGGAGCACTGCAAAACAACTGAGGAGCGCGGAGACCCTCCCCAACGAAAAGGGTTGTCCGAGGGGCGAAGGTTCAGCCGGGCCTGTCCCCCTACAGGGGGGCGTTCGACGAGAAGTAGAGCAAATACCCCAAGAATAGCCCAAAAAGTAGCCCAAAACTAGTCTGGGGACTATGCTTTGAATATTTGTGGGCCTTTTCGGGGGTATTTTTGGGGTATTTTTTTTCCGTCGAAAATCCCCCTGTAGGGGGACACGCCCGACATAAGCCTACAGCGTCCCCAGCCTTTCGTTCGATCCTTCACCAAAGAAGGGAACGAAGGCCAAAGGTGTCCGATGGCCTGAGGTGTCCCCGACTCTTCGTGCAGGTCTTCACCACAGAATGGAGCGAAGGGCGCTGGGGAACGGGGTACAGTCTGCATAGCTGGTGAGAAGCGCGAGCGAGCAAGCAAGCAAGCAAGAGAGCCATGCATCCTGGGGGGCGCGTGGGCTTGTCGGGAAGTGCACGCGTGGCTCCTGCTATGGCTCGCTGCGACGAAATCCTCGCCAACTGTCCTCCTGATACACTCGGCGCCTCAAACGGTTGGACTAAGCAGCCCAGGAGGAGGAGGGGGAGGAGGAGGAGGAGGAGGAGGAGGAGGAGGAGGAGGAGGAGGAGGTGATCCGCCCGAGGCCGGTGGGAACAGGTCCAGGCCCCCCGCGGCGGCGCCCAGGCGAGGCGAGCCCGCACGACCAGGCCGTGGTCGCGGGGCCCCCCCCCCGCGCCCCGCAGCAAGCAGCAGCGGCGCCTGGCGGCAAGAGGCCAGGCACTTCGGCAAGATAAAAAGGCAGCGCTCTCCAGCCTGGCACAGGAGAAGGAGAGGAGCCAGGGCGAGTGCTCGAGTTCTACTATGGGTACAACCTGAGCATCACGTAAAGATCATTCAATATATACAGAATGGCATCCAACCGACGGGGAAACTCTCGGGTACGAGGAGGTTCTCGACATCGTGGGCAGTCAAGAGCAAGGGCGCAGGCAAGGCACTCAGGACGATGGACATGTACGAACTGTGGACTCACCAACCCATCACCAGCCAACAAGTGTTCTTGCGAGATGCCACCATATCCGAAGAGAAGGCCCCAAACTCAGAGGAAGGATGCAACAATCCCGAAGTATAGAGGAGATCCGTGGCATCAAGACCGAGCCGAACAACGAGCCCCACCCAAACGAGATCCAGCAATCCAGAAACTCATTGACATGATCCCCATGGCAACCCGAGAAGAAGCAGAAACTGCAACAGAATTTGAAGAACCTCCGACAAATAACAGTCTGAGCCGGTCATTCAGATTAAACTATACGCAAAACAGACTCGGGTGGCCATGGTAGTCATACAGTCGAAGAAGGCTGACATCAACATGGAGGAGTCAAGGTACAGGATATCCATGATCAGGCACACTCTGGACATCATGAAACCTGCAGCGGCCAGAGTTGAAGGCCACAGAAAAAGTGTGCATCGATGGAAAGATAACTACCATCAAGAGACTCTTCAAAACAACTATCGCGGTCGATAATAGGATCGAGGAAGCGTGCATGCAGCTCGACCGCACCCAGCAAACATTACGGGACGCCATGATAGACAGAGATGGGGAGGAGAACGATGCGGACGACGACCCCAGCGAAGAGGAGGATATGGCAAAGGACTTCGTGGACGAGATCACGGCAGCTCAGCCAAAGTTATGAGTAGAGCAGCCTACTCGCAGCAGTGGAAGACGGACGGATACACTAAGCAGGCGAGAGGCCGCAGCAGGACCTCAGTTCGAGCAGTGCCGAGACACCGAACAACCAGCACACAGCGCAGCAGAACAACCAGCTCATGGAAATGATTGCGGCGCAGCAAGTGCAGAACGGCACACTCCAGAAGAACATGAATGACATGCAGGCCGGGAACCAAAGCCAGAAGGTCTTCTATGAGCAGCAGGCACAGTACCAGCAGTAGTACGTGCAGCAGGTGATGCAGGAGGCGCACGCCCCAGGTGCAAGCGACCAAGCTGCAGACTGCAGTAGACATCAAGAAGGGTTCTCGCCAACAGCACCAACGGAGGACTTGTTCAACACACAGGAGCGTGCCCGGGTCACACAGCACAAATAATGGCTAAAGGCGGGCCAGCAAGCAGCTGCAAATTCGCACATCAAGGCAGCGGAGGCTGGGCAGCTCAACGTGGTCGACACCATCCAGAAAGCAAAGCCATAAGAAGTTCCAGACATGGGCACAGGCAGCGCGAGGAAGGAACCCAGCACACCCACGGGCATCACCCAGCAGTTCAGTGACCTAAGGCTATCTCTCAAAATGGCGCCAGCAGCCCAGGCAGCCAAGAACAGAGGCGAACACGAGGACTGGGACGAATATCAGGCAAGGCTCCACGAGACAAAAATCGGACACAACATGCACGATGGGCTACCCGCAGCCTACTGGGCAGCGCAGCAACCTGGAGTGCATCAGGAGGCCCAGCATGATGTGAACAATAAGAGCAAGCACAGGCAGCACCGCAGGATGAGTTTCCATCCAATCCATTCTTGATGGAGAAGATGACCGAGCACATGGAGTACACGAACACCCAATACGCGGAGACACTCAAGCAGAAGATCGGCTCAAATACGGACTCTATCCCGGCTGAACAACCGTCGCCAAGTGCACCGATTGCACCAACGACACCAGTACACAGTCCGAATCCACCAGCATCGGCAAAGACAGTACCAGAAGCAAGATCGATTTCGCCGACGCTGCCAATGGAGCCACAACAATATCCGCAGCGAGAATGAGAAAGCACACCGAGGAGTACGGCAAGGGCACGCAGTACAATCAGGAACAAATGGACACCACACAGAACCAGGACCCGCTCATCCGGGCAAGAACCAGATGATTGAAGATAACGACCAGCCCGCAATCGGCAGCTAGAGCTGTACTGCATCGGCACGGTTTGGGATACAGGAACGTATGTTTCGACCTGGAGCAGACCCAGACAGCTCGGCTTCCTCATCGTCAGGACGCCCGCCGCCGGCTCGCATCGCTCGCAGGTCGATGCACCTCTTCGGCAGGTTCTCCAATTCAGTCGCCGTCGACAGGAGGATCGACGGCATCGCGACCCGCCGCTGAAAAGGCCAAGACGGGTCCATTTTGGACCTCGTGCATGTAGAGAAGTTAATCCTGGAAGCAGCGGTATGATATGGCGTGAAGCTTCACCCGCCGCCCCTCAAGCCGACTCGACGACTTCCAATGTGTGCCGGCCACCATCAGGCCAAAGGGATGAACGACAATTATCACGACACAATTCTGTGCCGTAACCCGCCTGAGATTGGGTTGCCAGGTGCAGGTGCCAGGTCGCTCGGACTAGCCGAAGCTACAGACCAAGCGCATCTTTCAGAAGTACTTCGAGATACCCTGGGCCCATGCCCTTTGCAATCCTGGACCCCCCCCCACGTGGCTCGACCAGGAAAATGTGCGAAGGAAGATCGGGACGAGCCCATCCCTCGATCAGGCCAGGAGCATCAAGCACGAAGGCATCTGTTGGGAAAT